CCGGGCGGGCGGGGCGCCGGCGGAAGCCGCGGTGTCTGCTCCGAAGCGCCCCCGTGCGGCCGGAGGTGGGAGGCCGCCTTGGCGCGACCTCTCCGCCCGCGGTCGGAGCTCTGACTGCGGCAGTGTTCGTTCTCACGGCCCCTCGGCACAAAGTGCGCCCACCTTCTGCAATTAGGAGGGGAGCAAGTCGGGCATATTCGAATGCGTTGTCATCAGTCTTTTTCTCCTGCTATTTGTCTTCCCAAAGCCTAGCCAAACGCGGCCTATGCGCTCAGTGCTGAGTTTTGTTGATCCTTGAAGCTCCTTAAGGAACTTCCACTGAAGCCACCACCCCAGGGGTTAAAAAATTAGTTTATTGAAATATTAATGTACATCGATAGGGGCGAAGTTCAACGAATTGTAATGCAGTATTAGAATGTCAGAGCTATAGGTGTTGGCCTGGAGAAATGATACACTGCTTTAAAAAAGCAACATGTAGATTAATTTTTGTAATAGCCAAAGTTTGAAAAAATAACCCCTATAATACATTTATGTTTGTAGGAAGTAGAGAATGGACAATGAATAAGGAAGACCGAAGACGAATTGATGCCTCTTTGGCAAGGAATTTTAAATATATCGTGTACTGCCGCAAAAATGAACGAAATCTGTCTGGGAAGTACAGCCAGAATGCTACTTAGAAACAACGATGGCAAAACTTTGTCTCACATACTTTGGACATGTTATCAGGAGGGACCAGTCCCTGGAGAAGGACATCATGCTTGATAGAGGGTCAGCGAAAAGAGAAAGACCTCAACGAGATGCATTGACACAGTAGCTGCAACAATGGGCTCAAGCCTAAGGATTGTGAAGATGGCTCAACCAGGTAGCTTTTGTTCTGTTGTACACTGGGTCGCTATGAGTCGGAACCTACTTGAGAGCATCTAACGAGAGAATGGTTAACATCTAACTGCTAACACTGGTTACTTGGGGCAGGAGCGGGGTGGAGAGGGGGAAGATAGGAAGGGGAGATTAACTTTATGCAAGGGTGTCAGTATTGTTGATTTGAGCTAAATAGCTTTTGTAATTAAAAAAATAAAAAGCTAATGGTAGGAAATATTTGTATTTAATGACACAATACATGTTTCAATGTTCCTACAACTTTTCCAGTGTTTTGAGGTCAACATTAATGTTCATTGTGGATAGTGATGGATTTTAGATTTGGGGGCAAATGATACGTTTCCTGGTGCCCCCATTGTTCTGTCCAACACCCTAGTCACATGCATTCACTAGGCTGGGTGAAGGAGGGACCAGAGGGAGGGAGCATGAAACCTAGGGGGGGTTAGAGCCAGGGCTGGACACCCACCTTGGAAGTGGATATCAGAACAAAGGCTTTTCATCTGCCCTCCTTTCACCAGCCACCAGCACATATATGAATAAACAGTGTCACTTCCCTCAGACGTGTGGCACTGTTATCATTCTCTTTCCAAGAAAGATTCGGTGTCTGCACAATGTCCTACTCAGAGAAAGGACTGATCTCTGTGGACAAAGCACACATGCAATTGTCACATGCATTAGTTCATGCTCACCTTGATTAGGGAGTTCCAATCCTTCAGTAAAATGGCAGACCACTCCACAGGCTCAAATGCGCCTCTGCCTCTGACGAATTTTTTCCACAGGTAGCATAAGTCTCCTGTGGGCCAGCTTACCACTTATCACCTGCATGACCTCCAGCAAATCATGTAAGTCCCCCAGCCCCTAGCTTCTCTTATTTGTAAAATGTGGGTGGCAACAATACCTGCCTTACAAAGTTGTCAGAATTTAAAGGAGAAAAAATTTAAGAACTTGCAAGTGCTTGGCACACACTGGATATGCAATGAGGTTTTTTAAAGCCTTATATGACTTTAAAAATAATGAAATCCCAATGACTAAGTTTGTGGAGAAGAGAGAAACAATGGGATTTCTCCATCAACAGCTCAAACAGTATTCCCCATTTTAAAATCCAACAAGCTCCTTAATAGAGCGAGCATTACTTTCTTTCTGCTTGTTCTCTTCCCACTTTGGTGCTGAAATTTAATTTTAATGCCCTGTGCAGGAGAAGCAAGCAGAGACCTAAATTATACTAGATCAACATCAAATTGTTAATTCAAGAATGTATAAATGAAAATTATTTCTAAATAATCTTCACACCCCGTAAGTACATCAATAGTTGTTATTGTTAGTTGTGGTCGAGTGGATTCCAACTCATGGTGACCCTATGTGTGCAGAGTAGAACTACTCCATAGGGTTTTCAAGGCTATAACCTTTCGGAAGCAGATTGCCAGGTCTGTCTTCTGAGGAGCCTACGAGTGGGTTGGAACCTCCATCCTTTAGGCTAGTAGTTGAGTGCTTAACCATTTGCATCACACCTAATTTTTAACCTTCATATTAGATAAAAACTTGAGAAAAAATTCAGGTTTTAATCTGAATAATAGGAGGATGTTGCTACTTGCCACTATCAAAGAGTTAAAATCGAGCTTTTGGAATGGAAATCACTTTACTATCATGCACTTTAGAAGCACTGAAGCTTGACTAAAGCCTTCATTTTGACTTCTATATAGTTGCTGAAGCCACTTATGCTAGAAGGCTCAGAAACATCAATTAACCTCCTTTATGACTATAAAGGTGAAAAAAATTAAAACTCTAATACAATTTGAAAATATCCTCCTCTCATCCCTAATTAGAGTATCTGCAGTTGAATCTGAAACTACATCGGGTATTAGAATCAAGTATCTTCTATACGTTCAGATTGAAAAATAACCTTAATGTACACTACATTCAAATTCCAGTGAAAGAACCAATGAAAGATTACTGATTTCATCTGCCTTCTGTCTTATTATTCTTTTGTTTTCCTCATTAAATATCCATTAAAACAAAGGGATAAAATTCTGGTAATTTCTCACTTCTGGGATTTATTTTTACTTTGAATTAGGGTATTTAAACACCACCAAGCGCCTCCTGTCAGAATGAAAGTGAACTAGCAGGGGTGGGTGATCCATCCTGTGTTGAGCTCCTTTTTTCCAGTAGCAGAGATCCAAGAACAGGGGTAAAGGAAGACTTTGGATGGACTATTATAAGTCAGTCCACATTCACAGCTGACTTGGAGGCTGTGCTATAACACACTTAGAAGTTCCCAGGGCTTACCTAGGCTTAGCTTCTGGAAATATATCAGAAGCTAAGGCAATTGATAAACTATTCTTTAAAACTTCTCCTTTGGTTCAAACAGGGGATAAGAGGACAACTTCAGGAAAATGTTTAGTTTAAAATACATAGTGCCAGAGAACTGTACTTACTTGTTAATGTCAGCAGCCTGAAAGCTTAGGTTATAATGGATATGAGGAATCTGAAATGTACAAAGGAGAAAAATAGCTTGGGAGTCTGTCCTGGTCCACACAGTACCACCAAGGTGTGACACTTCTTACTTGTCCAGTGGTGAGAGGTCTTAAAGTCAGATTAGAAAACAAGTCAGACTTTAGAGTTTTTCTCTGCATCTCTACATGTCGCCTGAAATACTGAAGTCCTTAGCTATATTTTACACTACAGTGATCATAAAAGAGGACAAAAACCAAATTTATACTTAAATAGCATGATTTAATTTAGTTGCTGCTTAATCCTGAATCCTCTTAAGTTAAAAAAAAAAAGTTATAATTAACTCTTAATGAATTAGAACCTTCCAGAAAGTATGAATCCAAAAGGAATGTCCAACAGATGGTACGAGCCAGTTCTTTTATGGCCTTTCCTGTTTCAGTCTCAAACATTCTAAACATCAATGGAAAAAAAAATTCTCTAGAATTTCTCAGTTTTATTCTTCTAGAGCACAATTTTCTGGCCTGTTACTGAGCATGGTCTTCTAACAGGTACACAATTAACTCATAGGTAGACAGCACAATGGCAGTATTTGGTATCTGCCTGATGAGCTGGGCAAAGAGTCCTCTATAGAAGGCAAGGTAACCTTCTTCCCGAAATACCAGGCGTGCAGTCTGGATGAAAGACTTGTACTTGGTGCCCTCCTCACGAAGCCGTGTCCTTATGACTTCTGCAAGAGAGAAATACACTAGTTACACTACAAATAAACTTTATTTCCAGGCAACACAAGAAAAGTCAAAATCAGCTAACATATAGCCTGGTCACAAAGTCTGTCAATGCACAGCTATGTTCACTTGCCATCTCAGCTCTACTTGGACAGGACAGTCACATACACAGAGATATAATGCAAAGGTAAGTTCTTTCTGGAACATTTTCTGACTCTGGGAATCAGTCAGTTATGGACATTTACATATACATATAAGTACAAAGTAACTTTTAAGGGATTAAAAAAAGCTTAGTTTGAAGGACACTTAATTTGAGATAGTTTATCGTTTTCTACTTTCAATTAAGGAGACTTGGTAGAGCAAGGGTTAAGCTCTCGGCTGTTAATCAAAAGATCAGAGGTTCGAACCCACCCACCAGCTCCACAGGAGATAGACTTGGCAACCTGCTCCCTTAAAGATTACAGCTTAAAAAACCCTATGGGGAAGTTCATCTGTCACATGGGGTTGCTATGAGTTGAGAGTGACCTGACAGTACTTATTAACAACATTCCCAATTAAGCAAATACCATAATTTCACTGAAGGTGTAATTTGTAAGTATCTTCAATAAGACATTCTTTTCATGTATTCCCAATCTTTCTTCTACTAGAATCTGGCTCCACTCGCCCCAGCTTCAAAGCCACCTGTTTCAAAGCCTTCACAGACCTGGCTCTCCCTCATCCAGGCACCCACAGCACAGAGCTCACCACCTCCTGCGTGTTGTGCAGGCCTCAGTGGCTGCGTGCACCTGTCTCCCTGCCATAAGGAGCCTCGCCGACCTCGACTCCCTAAGCCCTGTGGGGCCCAGCTCAGTGTCAATGCACATAATGGGGATTCAATGCCTGTCAGCTAACTGACTGTACACATTTGTCATAGCCAACAGTGCATAGGCTTTTGAAAGCAAAACCCATTTTTCATGACACAATAAACTAAGCTCTATTTTTTGTTTTTTTAAGTAGGCCAACAGGACATCAGTTCTGTAACTCCTTAAAAAATAAATTTATCCAAAGTAGCCTTCCTCAGCAGCCCATTCAGAGTGGAAGCTCAGAGTTTTTTTTTTTTTTAAGTTTGGCTCCCATATCACTTAAAATCAAGGAATTTTACTGACAAAATCCAGGTTTTTGGCGTCTTTCAAAGCATCAGGAGATCAGCAACACAGGGCCCACACTCACGTGCGGCAACAGCTTTGGCCACAATCGTTGGAGCCGTGTCAAGTTCCCAGCACTCACGTTACGGATATACATGCATTTACAATGGGAACAAGTGAAACCTGTACCCACTGATCCTACCTACAGGCATCTGCATTCCAACCTGTGCCACAGAAGTTTAGAGACACCGACAACTGACACAGACCTGACAGCTGTTTGACTGCTCAGGAAGAAAAAGTGTAACGTACCGTGTGGATAAGCAATACAGGAGGCACACCCCTTAGAAATAGCAGCAGCTGCCATAAGTCCAAAAAAATTTGTGGAATTTTTCTCAGTCCCGTTTGTAGAAGAGGCTAACGGAGCTTCTTTCAGATACTTCTTTAAATTTTCATAAATAGCGAAACAGATGATAGTTTCTGAGATTCCAGCATATGAGGCCGTTAATCCTCTATAGAAACCACGAATGCCTTCTGTCTGGTAAACATAGCGAGCGCACTGCAGTGTATTCATCTGCTTGGAGCCTCTCACTCTGCACGAGAAGGTAAGTGACAGACTTGTTAGAACACGCACCAGCGAGCTGATGACTGCACCCATCACACCAGGTGACGTTTAAAAATAAAGACAAGTTCTACAGCAGGTGACCTGTGTCCTCCTGACACTGCGGTCACACTGACCCTTGGCTCACTGGGAGGCCAGGCTTCAGGGTTGAGAGGGAGGCTAGGTCCATTAGCTGGGACATCTGGCAGGCCCACAGGATGTTACATGTATCTGTACCAAGAGTCACAGAAAATGTTCGTAGACTTTGACCTAATTTTGATAACATGTTAAGCACTGTGATACACTCAAATATAATCAAAATAGTCCAAATGTCTACAAATCGGAGTAATAAGTAAACTTCTGTGCATATACTAGATTTAAATGGTTATGAAGCCAGTAAGATATAGGGAAATGCTCTAAGTGGAAAAGCAGGACAAAATTATAAGTAAAGAATAATCACAACTATGATACAAATATACTTTAGGAAAATACTGAAGGGATAGTCACCTAAACTCTGACAGAATGGTGAGTGTACTGGCACGCTTTCTAAGTTCTCTAGTATAAAACTGTATATTTTGAGATTATTTCTTAATTTTGTATAAAATTATAAATATTGAATAGATTATAAAAACTTAAAACTAGGTGTTCCTACCCAATGACTTAAAGTAGTATTTGTAACTGCCTGCTGCCAGACAGATGAGTGACTCCAGGGGACGTCATCATGTTTGCACTGGTCACATGCCAAACAATCCTCAATGAGTCTCCCTGCCTCCCTGATTGTCTCTCCAAAGGCCATTCCCCACACCTGAGCTGAAGTGACTTTTCTAACACAGATCCAACAAGACCACTCCCCTGCTTAAAATCCTCCAATGCCGTTTTTCAGCCTCGGCACTGGTGACATTTAGGGTCGGATAATTCTCTGTTGTGGGGGCTGTCCTGTGCATGCTGTCCAGCAGTATCTCTGGCCTCACTCCACTAGATGCCAGCAGCACCCCACCCAAGTTGTGATATCCAAAATTGTCTCCAGACGTTGCCAGATATTCCTTGGGTGTAAAATCACACCCCTCCAATGACAACAGCTGTTCTAACGGCTTTCCACTGCCTTCAAAATAAAGCCCAAGTCTAAACTCCAAACTGATTCCCAGGGCATTTAAGAATCTGATCCCCACTCATTTTTCCAGCCTTCTCTTTCTATAATCCCCTCCTTCTCCAGTGCAAACTCATGCACGCGGTGCACTCCAACCACACTACCCTTCTTCCAGTTCCCCAGAATTAACCATGCTATCTTGCCTTGTGATTTTCTGCATACAGTTCTCTCTGCCTGAACCACTCTTCACTGCCACCCCCAGCCCCTAGCCACCACTCTGGCTATTATTATTTTTTTAAACTTTTCCTGTTGGGCATACCTTTTATTTTAAAGTAAGTTTTTTTAATAATTTATTTTATTTTTGTTGTTGAGAATATACACAGTACACCAGTTCAACAATTTCTACATGTACAATTCAATGACATTATACATTCTTCAAGTTGTGTGACCATTCTTATCCTGCTTTTCAGAGTTGTTCCTCCCCCATTACCATAAACTCACTGCCCCCTAGGTTTCCTATCTAATCTTCTGAGTTGCTGCTGTCAATCTGATCCCATATAGATAGATCGTATCTATCTGCTCAAGGCAGACATTCTTTACTAGTTAAACTAAACTACTGTTTGATTTTAAGACTTCAGGGGATATTTTTGGTTTAAGGTTTAAAGATTATCTCAGGGCACTAGTTTCAGGGGTTCATCCCGCCTCCATGACTCCAGAAATCCAGATTCCATGAGAATTTGAAATTCTATTCTACATTTCACCCCACTTCTTTTGATCAGGATTCTTCTATAGAATCTTTGATCAAAATATTCAGTAATGGTAGCCAAGCACCATCCAGTTCTTCTGGTCTCATGGCAAAGGAAGAAGTTGTTTATGGAGGCAATTAGCTACACATTCCATTTCCTCCTCCTATTCCTGACTCTCCTTCCTCTGTTGTTCCAGGCAAATAGAGATCAATTGTTGTACTTTGGATGGCTGCCTGCAAAGCTTTTAAGACCCAAGGCACTATGCAACAAACATGTTAGTAGGCCAATTAACTGGGATGTCGCATGAAATCATGACCACCTCCGAACCAAGGAACCAAATCCCATGAGGTGTCTGGTTGTACATAAGCAGCTTCAGCAGCTTTTTGTTGTTGTTGTTGTAAATACATCACACAACTTTTGCCAATTCAACTTTTTACAGGTATACAACTCACTGACAGCACCCTGGCTATTCTTAAGATGGCAGTGTGGATGTCGTGGCCTTAGGAGGCTTCCCTAACCTCCTCCCTCTCTCCACCCTGCCTGGACTGTATTAAGTGACCCTCCATGGTCCTGTAGCACCTCAGGTCCCTTATTACACCAGGCTATAATCATTCTCTTTACTTTCTGTAGCCCCCACTGAGCTGTAGCTCCTGGAAGACAAGGGCTATGTCTTCTTTCCTGCTGTTTCCCTAGTGACTAGTACACAGGAAACATGCAACAAATATTTATTGTTGGGGGACATGCTAGCAGAGCTCACTAGAACCAAGTTCTAAAATGCCCAGAGCATGGTCATTCCTAGGCAGAATCAGCTGGCTCTTGTTTACCCACCATGGTTGGCAGCACAAATCTCAAAACAAAAGGAGTTTCTACATATGCTGATATTCAGAAAAAACAAAGACAGGAATGGCTGAGGACTGTGCATGCCTCACTCCAAAGCTGGAATCAGGGGAAGACAAAATCCCCAAGAATTCTTCCTATATCAAGGAAAGTGGGCATAGGAACAACTAATAGCTTACCTCCGTTCTAGCTGCATCCGGGTTTTAACCATCCATATAGGATTCATTAAGGAATTTGTGACAAAAGCTGGAAAAAAAAACAGAAAAAGTCATCACTGTCTAACTACACAGTAAACGCTGAAATTAGGATTTCAATGGCTTAACAATAAAAATGGATAGTAGGAAGCAGTTACAATCTATACTGTAAGTGGAAGCTATATACTTCCTAAAATGTAACACTTACTGGGGTATGTTGGGCCTAAAAGATGTCTCCTTTCAACTTTCTAGAGCCCTGTCTCGTCTTTTCAACCTCTAGGTGGTGCTGTTGGTATTTCTGTTCATGTGGCTTCTGTGGTAACTATGAAACTATGCTAACACTCAATTTATAAACTTCAGGTCCAGAAATAATGTGTTTAAAAAAGTTGCTGATCTAATGTAAAAGGTTACCTTATATCTAACTTGGAGAAGGAGCTAAATCTCCATTTCCCTGAATCCAGACTCAAACTATAATACCTGACTAATCATTGTAGAAAACTGAAGTTTTAAGACTGTTCTGCTTGTAGGCACCATTCTTTTGTGGTGGTTGTTGTTAAAGTAAGCCTTCTCCATCTTAACACTGCTAATCATTCCAAACCAACCAAGAAGTAGGAATGCTGTGGTACTGGTCTGACTCTTCCCCAATATCGCACCCTCCACAGTCCTGAGTAAGTAGATTGATATTAGGAAGATTAAAAAAAAAAAAAAAAATCAACCCAAAACCGTTGCCGTCGAGTCTATTCCGACTCATAGCGACCCTATGGGACAGAGTAGAACTGCCTCCTAAGGTTTCCAAGCAGGGGCTGGTGGATTCGAACTGCTGGCCTTTTGGTTAGCAGCCGAGCTCTTAACCACTGCACCACCAGGGCTCCACTAGGAAGACAGAGGTTTAAAAACTCCCTCCAGGTCTGTTCTATTTACTAAGGGTTCTTCTAAGTTATTTCTGCAGAAGTTACAAACCTGATTAACATTTTTTAGCCCTGGCTAACTCACTACCGGCCTATTAAAAAAAAAATCCTGTTGCCGTTGAGTTGATTCCAACTCATAGCAACCCTATAGGATGGAGGAGAACTGCCCCATAGGGTTTCTAAGGGGCGCCTGATGGATTCGAACTGCCAACATTTTGGTCAGCAGCTGTAACTCTTAACCACTATGTCACCAGGGTTTCTACTGGCCTATTAAGTGAAGTATAAATGAAGATTGACCTGTTTTGAAGCTCCGTATTTCCTCCATATTAAGTAGAAACGCCTATCTTGTGTGAAGCAGCTTTACTTCTTTTCTACTCAGGGTCAGACATTATTATCTATAAATACTCAGATGGGTTGCTAGTGCCTTCGTTTGGAATAACAAAGGCAGACAAAACAGACTAGCACACCTTACAGACTGGCAGAAGGCCTAGATTTTTCATAAAATGCCAATTTAAGTTCTCTAAAATACTTCTCTATTTAAATAAACACAAAAGTATATATAAGAAGGTATATATAGCTTTCACCTTAGAAATCTACAAATTCAACATATTTTTTGCCAAGAACTTCCTGGAGAAAAACATCTTAGTGAAACGACTTCGTCAAAAGTGAATAGAAGCTACCTATCTGCTGCTGGCCCTACTAAAAGAGTTCAACTAAAAGCCCTGAATAAATCCTCATTATGTAATCTAACAACATGTTGAGGACAGAAGTGCCAATTGTGGGCAGGATGAGCTGGACACCATGGGGAGTTATGAAGAAAGCAGCTCTGACTTTAGCAAATAACTTAACGGGGAAATAGAATAAAAAATATTAATAGTCCTTTAAAAGAAACATAACACTAACAAGCAGCATACATAAGAACGTGTAAATTTTTAGGGAGAATAAAAAGCTTTAGTGGTCAAAGAAACTGGAACCAAGTTACAAACTGCACTCAAACACTCATATTCTATCAAGTCTAATATAAGCTTTAAAAAAACAATTTTAGGTGCAAAAGAAGCAGGGAGCTCATTCCTAACTCCTGGAAAAAGCTGTTTGGCACAACACATGCTTTAAGGAAAGTGAGAAACTCTTAGCTCCACTCACTAGGATAACATACCTGCAGAGCCAGCTGAGAATACATGCACGATATTGCTATCAGGCACAAAAATGCCATTAAATTGCTCTTTGGCTTTGGAGTAACATGCAAAGTACACAGCCCTGTTAGAACAAAGAGAGAGAGAGAGCACTGTAAAGGAATTGTTATGATACACATATATGTATACATACACACACATTCCTTTGCAACATCTGAAAAATGCAGGAAATTAATATGGGGAAGAAGTTGATATGTAACCAAAATCATCTCCTACTATCTCTGCTAAAACCAAAACCTGCTATACACACTTTCAGGAAGTTCTTGCCACTCCAGAAATTATTTAGTGATTACAAAGGTGTCCAAAATAATTGGGGAAAATGAGATGTTAAAACACATACACAAATCCTTTTACATTCTTCATTCTGGATTAACTCTCTTGGTAAAAGTTAACCCTTTAGGTGCCAACGCATCCTACTTTTACAATTTGTAACATTTTTTAAAATACACCATACTTGTCCTGCCTTCCACCAAAATTGAGTATGTCAAATATAATTTGAACTTTTTTTGATGTCTCAGTATCACATAGGAATAGCCATCATACAATGCTTTCATAACACCAGTCACTCCACCGGAGAAAGATGTGGCAGTCTGCTTCTGTAAAGATTACAGCCTAGGAAACCCTATGGGGCAGTTCTACTCTGCCTTATAGGGTTGCTATGAGTCAAAATTTACTCGACAGCAATGGGTTTGGTTTTTGTTTTTGGTTTGCCCCTCCACTGAATATGCTATATGCTCCCCAACCCCCCAGAGGTTGACCACTACAGGTGGGGGTTGGACTTCACCACCCCCATCCCTCAACACCCCCCCCATCTTCTCTTCTCCCTGTTTGTCTGTTTTTCCCCTTTGTCTTCCCTCCTGTTGGGGCTGGGGAGTAGGGGCTGGTTGGGATTTTCTATGCTGGCCAATGGATCAAGCATAAACTATATGTTTCAACTTAGGATTTAACTACTTATTATTGTTGTGTTCTAAAATCTTCTTCCTTTTTTTTCTAGGTCCCATCTGTTCTAAATGAGTGAAGTAGTCAGGAATCTACCTACATAAGGCAGCCAGTATTACCATATTAGCACTGCCCACATGTGGGTAAGGCACTTAGTTTCTTTATTTACCACATATATGCAATATGTTTACCATCTTCTAATAATGTTATACCCCATATTATCTATCAGACTAATATTTTCTACTTTTAAAATAGACTGTGCACAGATGCTACAAAATTCTAAAGGAATAAAAGGGTTTAATAACAACCTGCATTTTTACAACACCCCCAAGTGATTTGTGTACACACTGAGGCACTGATCTGGAGGAATTCTAGAAGCTTTAGTCTTCATTTTATATAAAACAACATTCTCGTTTTTTTTATAAGGCTTAATTCCCTTTAAAGTCTACTTGACTATTATATGGAGTATGAACACAGGTGGATATATATGTATATATGTGTGTATATATATCCCACTCCTGCCACCCAGCCACCCCCCAGCAGCTCTTCTCTCAGGAGGCAATCTCTAGTACCAGTTTCTAATCTATCTTTCCAGAGATATTCTAGATACACACACACAGTGTCTCTCTCTCACTCACATGCTCACTTTTATATCTATACACATTTATCCTTTATAGCAACACTGTCAGTAGAACTCTGCGAAGATGGAAATGTTCTGCATCTATGCTATTTGATACAGTAGCCAGTAGGATAATAAGTAATTGAAATGTAGCTAGTGAGACTCAGAAACTGAATTTTTAATTTTAATTAATTTAAATTTATATAGTCTCATGTGGCCAGTGGCTACGGTGTTAGACAGTACAGTTCCATATATTCTACCAAGCTTTGAAGAGAATTAAGTCTTGTTACAAAAATGAGAATGTTTTATATAAGGTAAAGCCTAGAAGCTTTTAAAATTCCTCCAGATAAAGGCTTCAATGTGCATATGAATCAGAGGAGAGCCTGCTAAAATGCAGATTCCTATGTTGGTCTGGGATGTGGCCTGAGATCATGCATTTCTAACAAGCTCCCAGATAATAACCATACCACACTTTGAGTAGCAAAGTTTAGATTACAACTGATGATAGCAGGTTAATTTTTATATTTAAGAATAAAATAACCAGAATCTCTTTCTCACACATACACACAACACACACACACACAACACACACACAGAGACACTGTTGACTATTTCTACATGTTGGATGTATTTAAGCAAATCCAACTCAAAAAAAGAAACTGATCGTTCAGCAGCTATCACCCTCAATAAGAAAGGACTCAGCATTATACAGTATATAAACTAGCTGAGAAATGTAATGCTTACCTTGATGGTGCAACTCCAACCAAATTTGGACCCAAGCCTCTAAAAAGTGACTTTGGTCCCTCCTTCTCCAAGATTGACCTGAATAATAAGAAGAGATGTATCTTTGAAACTCCTTAGGCACAACTTGACCAAGGCAAAGTCACAGAAGCTTCTTAGACACATCCAAACACCCTGAGGGACTGAGTTACTGGGGTTGAGGGCTGGGGACGATGGTTGCAGGAGTCACCTAGGTCAACCGGCATAACAAAGTTCATAAAGAAAATGTTCCACATCCTACTTTGGTAAGTAACATCTGGGGTCTTAAAAGCTCGCAAGCAGCCATCTAAGATATATCTGTTGGTCCCATCCCATTCACAGCAAAGGAGAATGAAGAAAACCAAAGATACAAGGGAAATATTAGCCCAAAGGACTAATGGACCACAAGTACAACAGCCTTCACCAGCCTGAGCCCAGAACAACTAGATGGTGCCTGGCTACCACTGGCAGCTCTGACAGGGATCACAACAGAGGGTCCTGGACAGAGCAGGAGAAAAATATAAAGTAAAATTCAAATTTGAAAAAAAAAAAAAAAACAGAGTGGTTTGACAGAGACTGGAGGAACCCCCACGGCTATGGCCCCTGGACACCCTTTTAACTCAGAACTGAAGCCACTCCCAAAGTTCACCCTTCAGCCAAAGATTACTCAGGCCTATAAAACAAACAATAACACAAATGAGGAACATGCTTCTTAGTTCAATCATGTGTATGAAACCAAACGGGCAACACCTGCCCATACAGCAATGACAAGAGGGCAGGAAGGGACAGGAAAAAAGGACAGATGGAAACGGGGAAATAGGGGTGGGGAGGGAGAGAGTGTTGACACATTGTGGGGGTCGTAGCCAATGTCACAAAACAACCTGTGTATAAATTGCTGAATGAGAAACTAATTTACTCTGTAAACTTTCATGGAAAGCACAATAAAAAACAAAACAAAAAAAAACCCTTAGGCAAAGCCTATGGAAACTGAAGAGTCAACCTTCACACTAGCTCCTTAATAGAATAAAATGTACACAAGACCCCAGACTCTTGTCTGTTTGTAATACACTGAAATCTGTGAGGGCTGGAACTTGACAGGACTGCCTTGTTTTCCCGGGTCTCGCAAGTTTTCCACCTTAGACAGGGTGCACTCTTCCTACGTTTCTATTGCTTGCTATTATTAGAAAATATTTTGAGTTTTCCTTCTTTGATGGGTTTTTACCTTAAACAGGTTCCAGCTTTCGCAGGTTTTACCTATTACAATACAGAATCAGAGGAGGCTGTACAATATTGCTTTCATTAATACAGTGAAAAAATGTGCTTCAAAAGCATCAGTTACACATGTTTTCAAGAAGTCATTTCCATTGCTTGCACAGAAGCGCCATTTTTAGGGTTTGTATCACACAACAAAATCCTATTAAGGAAGCATGAGCATCTTACAAAGGGTCCTATACAAGGAACAGTAACCTCGTTATAACAGAGTTCACCGAGAAACAGGTTCAGAGATTTCTCTGGACGGTATTTCTTTTGAATTTATTCCTGATTTACAACTCTCCTATCTTCTAGATCTTTACCTATTATAGCAGAGACCTAGGCAGGGATATCAGGAATAGAAATACGAGATGCTTCTAATAATTTTCATGGACTGAAATGAGTGTTATTTAAAGTTGATGCCTAGCATCTCAAATCCAAAGTTATTACTGTGACTACCTTTTTTTTATGTTAAATGTTTTTTGGTTAAAAGTGACTAAATAAATCCTAAGTGGATTGTATAGAACATTCTTTAGAGGCATTTTTCCACTCCAATACAGTGATTCAAGTTAGTTTACTCTTTTCAGCAGCTCAATTTTCATGGAATCCAATAGAATTTACATTGTTAAATTGCTGTCTTCTCTGATTTACTCTCCTTTTCATACTGAGGAATTTCTCTACTTGGTAACTAGTACCTCTGCTATGACAGCATTCTAAGTTGATCTAGTTCACAAATTATCATAGCCTAATTCTGTCTGACCTTCATTATGACACTAAGGTTAAGATAAAAAGCTCTCTTTCACTTTATGGAAAAGATGTTCCTATAAAGCTAGCAGTAAAATGGATCATGCCTATTCTGTTTCTACCAACTTCCACTTTTCCCACAGAGAAAAAGTTTCCAAAACCAAGTTGAAATTTTTGGTGCAAAAGAGGTTAAGCTGCTGTTTTGGTCCATGGCATGCTGGATGCTATGAAAGTTTTGTTCATTTATAGTTTTGCTTCCCATTCTTTCCTTCGTCCAATAACTGTAACTTCTCATGTTCTAGACTCCTTGAATGCACAAATTTTAAATCTTAGCTTCTTTTCTGATTTCTGGATATTTACAAAATATTCAATCGCTTGAAATAAAGAATATTTGTACTTATAAAAGCTTTCCTAAAATGTAGCAGGCTGGCAATTAGGCAAGAAGAAGAAATGTAAGGTATCTGGATTCAAAAGCAAAATTGTCTCTACAGACAATACGATCTCACATGTAGAAAATACTAAGAAACCCACTAAAAAATACAACCAATAAATGAGTTCAGTAAGGTTGTAAGATATAAGAGCTATACGCAAAAATCAGTTGTACTTCTATATGCTAGCAATGTTCGTGGACTAGACGACTTAATATTGTTACGATGCCAATACTCCCCAAATTGATCTACAGATTTAACACAATCTTTATCAAAATCTCAGTTGCCTTTTTTTTTGCAGAAATTAACAAGTTGATCATAAAATTCAACATGAAAATGCAAGGAACCCAGAATAACCTGAACAAACCTTGAAAAAGAATTTAGTTGGAACACTTACACATCCTAATTTCAAAACTTACTACAAAGCCACAATAATCAAGACAGTGTGGCACTTACATAAGGATAGGCATACAGATCAATGGAATGGAATTTAGTGTCCAGAAATAAACTCTCATATTTATGGTCAACTGATTATTAACAAGGGTACCATGACAATGCAATGGGGGAAAGAATGGTCTTTTCAACCAATGGTGCTGGGACAAGTGGATATCTACATACAAAAGAAGGAATTTGGAACCTTACCTCATCCTCACATTTCTGTGCCTCACATACAAAAATAACTCAAAATGGATCATAGATCTAAATGTAAAACCTAAAACTATAAAACTCTTAGAAGAAAACATAGGAGTAAATTATCAGGGCCTTGGATGATTTCTTAGACATGACAGCAAAAGCACAAGTGACAAAATTTAAAAAAAGATATATTGGACTTCATCAAAATTAAAAATGTCTGTGCTTCAAAGGACACCACCAAGAAAGGAAAAATACAATGCAAGAACAGGAGGAAATATCTGCAAGTCACATATCTGATAAGGGACTTATATCCACAACATGTAAAGAACTCTTACAACTCAACAAGAAAAAAGACAACCTAATTAAAAAATGGGCATGGGATTTGAATAGACATTTCTCCAAAGAAGATAAACAAATGGTCAATAAGCACATAAAAAGAGGTTCAACATTTAAGTGATTAGGGAAATGTAAATCAAACTATAATGAGATACTACTTAATACCTACTATGATGACTATAATAAAAAAGACAATAACAAGTGTTGTCAAGGATGTGGGGAGATTAGAATCCTTATACATGGATGATAGAAATGTAAAATGGCCCAGCACTTTGAAAAATAGTTTGGCAGTTCCTCAACAAATTAAACACATATGACCCAACAATTCTGTTGTTGTTGTTGTTAGGTGCTGTTGAGTCGGTTCCAACTCATAGCGACCCTATATACTGCCCAGTCCTGAGCCATCCTCACAGTTGTTATGCTTGAGCCCACTGTTGCAGCCACTGTGTCAATCCATCTTGTTGAGGGTCTTCCTCTTTTTCATTGACCCTCTACTTTACCATACATGATGTCCTTCTCCAGGGACTGGTCCCTCCTGATAACATGTCCAAAGTATGTGAGACAAAGTCTCACCATCCTTGCTTCTAAGAAGCATTCTGGCTGTACTTCTTCCAAGACAGACTTGTTTGTTCTTCTGGCAGTCCATGGTATGCTCAATGTTCTTCAACAACAACACAATTCAAAGACATCAATTCTTCTTTGATCTTCCTTATTCACTGTCCAGTTTTCACATGCATATGAGGTGACTGAAAACACCATGGCTTGGGTCAGGCATACCTTAGTCCTTAAAGTGACATCTTTGCTTTTTAACACTTTAAAGGTCTTTTGCAGATCTGCCCAGTGCAATGTCATTTGACTTCCTGACTGCTGCTTCCATGGGTGATGACTGTGGATCCAAGTAAAATGAAGTCCTCGACAACTTCAATCTTTTCTCCATTTATCATGATGTTGCTTATTGGTCTAGCTGTGAGGATTTTTGTTTTATTTATGCTGAGGTGTAATCCATACTGAAGGCTACAGTCTTTGACCTTCATCAGTAACTGCTTCAAGTCCCCTTCAATAATTCTATTCCCAGGTATATACCCAAGAAAAATGAAAACAAAGATCCACACAAATATTTGTACATAAATTTTCATAGCAGCACTATTCACAACAGCCATAAGATGGAAACAATCCAAATGTCTATCAACTGACAAATGGATACGCAAAATGTGGTACAGGTAGTCCCCAACTTACAATATATTCAAGTTACAACAAACTGCACTTACTACCATCTGTTTTTTTTATTTTTGTACATCTTATCATTAGTAGTATGTACTACACACCTTGTTGCAGCATGTAATTTGCTGGTGTTATCATTCTCATTCCAACCCCCAAAGACAAATAAAGATCAGATTTATAAAGATACTGATAACATGAAAACTTAAAAAAAAGAGGTATTTGACACATGACGGAGTCTTCAGAGTAGAACTCCCTCATAAGCTGGGGACTACCTGTATATACATACAATGGAATAACATTTGGCATAAAGAGAAATGAAGTTCTGATATATGCTATGACACAGATGAACTTTGAAAACATTATGCTAAGTCAAAGAAGGCAGTCACCAAGGACCACATGTTGTATGATTACATTTATATTAAAAAATGTCCAGAACAGACAAATCTAATG